CTGCACAGAGAGGCCAAGAAGCATCTGAACAGACAGGCCTTGCCAGGTTCCCCCAGGGCCAGTCTATTACCAGTAGATCGCACCCTTTTGTCCAATCACATTTCAACTCGTCTATCCATCCATTCTTCACCAAACCTAAGCATAAAAATAGACACTTTTCCCTAAGTCTTGGGTTCATTTCTGAAGGCTCCCATGTCACGTAAAACTCTGATTAAACAAATTTCTTAGGAGGCAGGAGGGGGGGTGATGAGAAATTACTTAATGGGTACAACGTACGTCATTTGGCTGATGGATACCCTCAAGTCCTGACTTGATCTCTATGTAATCTATGCATGTAACAAAATTGCACTCCTACCCCATAAAATGTATACAAATTTTTTAAAATAAAAGGCAAAAATAAATAAATAAATTTGTTTTATGTTTCTCTTGTTAACCTCTTTTATTTAACATTATAGAATTGTTGGCCATGATTTTTATGATTAGTGAGGAAAGGCATCACATCTTTCTCCCTCTACACGCCCAACCAAGGCTGCAAACCCCTAGGGCTCTGAGGAGTTGTTAAAGGACTGGGAAGCCCAAATATTCGGCTAGCATTATTTGAATACCAGAGTTATTAATCTGGGATCCACTGGCTCCTTAGCAAGTCCATGAATGTCCTGGCGGCACATGCAAAGTTTTATGTGAGTGCCTTTTTGCCTCTAGGGAGAGGGACCATTTCATATCTTTTATCTGATTCTCAAAATGGCCAGAGACCTTCCAAAAAGAATGTGAACCATTCTTGTAGATCAGGAGTCTGAAAATGACCAACAGGCCAAATCCAGCCCAATGCTTGCTTTTGTGCAACTCACAAACTAAAATACTTTTTATTTTTAAATGATTGAAAAAAATCAAACGAATAATAGCTCATGACACAAGAAAATAATATGAAATTCAAATTTGTGTCCATAAATAAAGTATTCTAGAAATGCAGCTATACTTATTCATTTACATATTGTCATGGATGCTTTTGTGCTACAGGGGCAGAGTTGAATACTTACATGGTTTGAAAAGCCTAAAATATTGCCTATCTGGCCCTTTTCCAAAAAAGTTTGCTGACCCTTGCCAGAGAAGGACTAGATAACATACCCTACGTCTATATACACCTCTTTTTTTCACTCGTGTATAGATGATGTTATGATTGATAAAGTTCAAATTCATTTTCAAATATTTTTAATTTAGTAGACATTAGTCATCTGAACCCTTTTGCTGTATTTGGAGAAATTCCCACCACACGAGTCTTGCTAGGAGACAGAGTCTGCCTCTGCAAACAGAAGGTCAGATTCTTTTTTTTTGCTACCTCCTTGGCAGCCAGGGCATGGACATGTGATTTGGGATCAGCTGATCAGAGTCCTCACCTAGACTATGAAGCTGGAGTGAGTCACATAACAAAACAAGCGTAGAGGAGAAAGTATTGTGGCAATAGTGGAGACGACAGAAGTTACACGTAACTTCCAGGAGCAAACAGCAGGGCCAGCAGTGCTAGGACGCCTGTAGCAGTGATCCACTCTGGTTGCACGTCAGTAGTGTCCTCCCCAGCCAGACCCTAAGGCATGATTTTGTCTTTGGTCCTGCTGCCTGGCCTCTGTATCTACTTGGTTAGAACTAGCTCAGGCACTAGATGAGACTGAGCTTGCATCACTCACTGCCTGGAGCAGAGAGAAGCTAAAGGTAGAGGTTACTAAATATGGACTCCAGGACAGACAATGGCTAATCCATCTCTGTGTCTTCACCACCCAAGACAGTGTCTGGCACTTAAAAAGTATTCACTAAATATCTGTTGATGAAAGAGCCAGTGAGTAAGTACATAAGTGGGTGAGTGACTGGACTAGGGATCTCTGATTTTAATAGCTTCCTGCACCTGAAACTGGCAATGAGCGTTTCATGTATCAGGGTCTCCTGATACATGAGGATAAAGACAACCCTGCTCTTCAAGCCCCATAAATGGCTTCCTGGGGTTCTCAGGCCATCAAAGATCCAGTGATGAGAAATGGTCAGAACTTGGGGATTAATGCAAATTTGATCCTGGGCCATGAGCCTCAGAGCCCCCTCAGATGATGTGTCATATCTTCTAGAAGCAGATAGTCGATCAGATAGCATGGGTGTGTGCACATATATGCATTAGGTGGGAGAATATGGACGAGAGCATATACCAGGCACACTCAGCTTCTGCCTTGGCCCTGGACCACAGACTGCCATGAAGCAAGAAACTTAGTGTTGGTTCTAAGGACCTTTTCCTGGTGCATTGATAATTTAGAAGTGGCCAAGTGCAGTACCTCATGCTTCTAATCCCAGCACTTTGGGAGGCTGAGGTAGGAGGATCACTTGAGCCCAGGAGTTCATACCAGCCTGGGCAACATAGCAAGACCTCATCTCTACAAAAAACTTTTTTAAAAAAATTAGCAGGGTGGGGTGGCGCACACCTGTAGTCCCAGCTACTTGGAAGTCCGAGGCGGGAGGATTGCTAGAGTCCAGGAGTTTGAGGTTGCAGTGAACTATGACTGTACCATGGCACTCCAGTCTGGGTGACAGGGAGAGACCCTACATCAAGAAAGAAAAGAAAAAGGCAGGTAGAAAGGAAGGAAGATAGGAAGCGAGGGAGGGAGGAAAGAAGATTACAGTGACGACTAAAAATTAGGAACATTTCATTACTTCCGGATCTATTAATATTTATGTATATTAGGTAACAGATTTTTAAGGAGCCAATGAGAACTTTCGTAGCAAATGATCAGGAATCGATAGTGGCATTTCCACAAACCTAGGGTTTCAACGATCTCAAGAGAAAGGGAGCATCAGGGACAAAGCCGCACTGAGACATTCCTACAGAGCAGAGCCTTCGAAGAAGCCAGGATGATTTTAACAGAATTTCTATAATCAGTATGTTGTATAAGCATTAGTTTCATTTTTGTCTCGTTATCCTTTGAAACTCTGTTGGGAGGGCATGATCTTTCTCTGCCCATGGGTGAAGATTTGAGGAGACACACAATTTCTGTCAGATAAGTCTTCCTGTCATTATCATATAATGTCACTTCATTAAAGTATCTAGTCACATCTAATAGTCAAAACTACAAACTTGGCATTGAATCTTTGGCTAACTTGAGCTTGCTTCAGGCTTGAAACCTCCTGTAGAGAAATGGGATGGAGTCCTTTGCTCTCTCTTCAACTCTCCCACTTGCTAGTTGTCTGCACTGCCTTGGCAGCTGGGGAGGGAGGAGCAGTAAGGAGACAGGGCCGTTCTTACTTAGCTGGTTGGCTTTGTGCTCTCTGGGCCTGCCTGGTGACTAGAGCTGGCTTTCTTTTGGGGTGGCACTTTCACAGGCTTGCCAGAGGGTCCCGCTGAGCCCCCCAATCCTGGCAGATGCGTCTCCACCCCGGCTGCTCACTTGTCCTCTCGCCTCTGTCCCTGGGTGCTAGGCTTCCATGTCCAGACCCTTTCTGCTGAGGTCACCGTGGCCCTGCTGATGGTCTGTTGGGCAATGTCAAATATGATCCACAGAAGGATCCATGAGAAACACCGATGTGTGCCTTGCCGCAAGAACTCTGCCATCAAAGCAGTTAGCCTTGCTTTTCTCTCAGAGCCCAGCCTTCAGCCCATTTCTGCTTTCTTTCTTGGGCCTGTGTTCAGGCATGAGTTTTCTGAGTCTCCAAACCAGAGAGAACATATTTCCAAACTCTTGCCCCCTTGAAATACCCCTCAGCAGACAGTGGTAGGTGTCACTTCCCCCTACCCTTTTGCCAGAATGGGGGTTGGAACTCAACACAGCTGCACCTTGTACATGTTACTTATTGCTTCATAACATATTGCCCCAAATCTTAGTTGTGTGAACAATAAACATTTATTATCTCTTACATCTTCTCTGGGTCAGGAATTTAGGAGTGGCTTAGCTAGGCAGTTCTGGCTCAGAGGCCCTCATGAAGTTCCAGTCAAGATGTCAACCTGACTTGAGGCTGGAGGAAAACTTCTAATGTGGTTCACTCACATAGTTTGCAAGTTGGTGCTGCTTTTTGGTAGGAGGTCTTAATTCCTCTCCATGTGGAATTCTCCACAGGGCTGCTTGAGTGTTCGCATGACATAATGGCTGGATTCCCAGAATGGGTAATCCAAGAGACCAAAGAACAGCAATACCTATAATGATCTAGCCTCAGAAGTCACACACTCTCATCTCTGCCATTCTTTTTTTTTTTGAGACAGTGTCTCACTGTATTGCTTGGGATAAAGTGCAGTGGCATCATCATAGCTCCCTCAAACTCCTGGGCTCAAGCAATTCTCCTGCCTTGGCCTCCCAAGTAGCTGGGACTACAGGTGCATGCCACCACATCTGGCTAATTTTTTTCTTTTTTTTTTTTGTAGAGATGGGGTCTCGCTCGATCTTGCTCAGGCTGGTTTTGAACTCCTGGCCTCAAACGATCCCCCCACCTCAGCCTCTCAGAGTGCTAGGATTACAGGTATAAGCACCACGCCTGGCCTCTGCGATTCTTTATTAGTCACACAGTGGGGGAGGGAGGAGCACTAAGAAGATAGGACAAGCTCTGATTCAATATGGAAGGAAACTATACAAGGGCATGAACACCAGGAAGTAAGAACCATTGAGGGGCATGTTGGAGGCTACCAAACAAATCCTGTTATACTTCAAGTGACCATTACCCGTAAAACAAACTGAACAAAGTACCAATAAAGTGCAGAGTGTAAATTCAGATTGGCTTAATCAAAACTTCTTTAGGGGATTTCTTGACCTTCGAAATTGTGCATGTCATCTGGCCCTGTCCACATTTGTTCCTCATCAATAAATGGGTCCAGGACTCTCCTTAAACGCAGGCAAGGCCTGATCTTAAGAGTTCCTTTTGGTTTCTCAGATCTCTGATTCTACTTAATAATCAGCAAAAATATAGCTTCGGAAATATCTTTTAGGAGTCGACATTTACAATGGAATTTATAATTCAGTAAAAACATTCTAAGTGAGTCATTATAAGAATCATCTGTTTTATTTATTTTAAAGAGTAACGATTTAAATTGAATCTATTTGGGCACATAGATATTTGACATGAAAAGTAGTTGTATCAGAATGGGCATCAGAAAAATTGCAACTCATCTTACACATAATAACTAGAAAATATTATTCTGTCTGATCATTTAAGTGTTACAAATCCTGAGAATGTTAAACACTGAACAAATTAGGTACTACCTTATAATTAAATTTTGCTTGGAAATAATTCTTTAAAAAATGTTTCAAGGTATAAATCACCTATGTATTAAACACGAATCTTTCACATTATACAAAGAGTTTAAACAAATGTATCAGTTATAGTTTGGTGGCTCTTAGAAAGCTATCAGTCAGGTTCAAGGACACACTGTTCCACAATTTCCCGTAAGTTGGGGTTTTCCATTGCAGCTGCCACTCGCTCTTTGTCATTTATCTGCTTATTGACTGAAAAACACACAGGCAAAAGTTAGCAGAAGAATTGTGTCAATATACAGTGCTAGACATTATTTTTATTAGCCTGCTAATGCAAAAAATTTAACTCCTTGAGAACTTAAAACTGTTTTTGGCCAATTACCCATAATGTAATTTTCAAGGACTAGAAGGCAGTCTTAAGAGAAAAGTATCTTCTACAATTCTACTACTTTAACTTCTTTGTCAGTCTTCTTCCATATATATGTCGGTCTTCTTTAACTTCTTCCCAGTCTTTGTCCACATGTATATTTCTCTACAGTTACAGTCAGAGCAAATACAATTTTGAAAACTGTTGTTTCTTCCCCTCAAGTCTATATTTTAAGCTATAGAATTATTTACCATGGTAAACACTGTAGGTGATCTAAATTAATTATGAAGACTATGCTACAATGAGCACCTTTAAACATAGAGTCTTCTTTTTGGAAATACTCTCTAAAAAAATCAAAGGATATGAGTATTTCTATGGTTTGATTCATATTGTTGAATTACTTTCTAAAATTATTTACCAATTTACATCTTCAGCAGCAATACGTGAGCTATCAGGTTGCCAGTAATACCTGGTATTATTTTTTATTTTTATTATCATTTTTTTTTAAGAGATAGGGTTTTGCTCTGTTGCTCAAGCTGGAGTACAGTGGCATGATCATAGCTCACTGCAGCCTTAAACTCCTGGGCTAATTTTTTTATTTGTTGTAGAGACAGAGTCTTGCTATGTTGCCCCAGCTGGTCTCAAACTCCTGGCCTCAAGTGATCTGCCTCCTACCTCAGCCCAGCAAAGTGTAGGGATTACAGGTGTGAACCCCCATGCCCAGCCATTACGTGGCATCATTAATAAAAACAAATGTATACACACATCCATAAAACCGGAAGTGAAAAATGGTTCCATATTATTGTTGTAATTTGCATTTCCTTGATTAATAGTAAAACGGAACATTTTCCATGTTTATCTATTTGTTCTTCTTGTGTGAATTTGCTGTTCATATCTCTTCTTATTAATCTACTGGGTCTCTTTTTTTAAATCAGTTAGCATGGATGGTCATATAATAAAAGTATTGGCCCATTATGTTGCCTATAATTTGTTAATAGCACTCTTCATAGAAGAATTCAAAAGAGTTCTCCATATTCTTAATGCAGACTGACTTTTCTGGGATGTCACTAAAACGTCTCATATATCCCTGTATAAATAATTTTAATTTGTTCTGTTTTGTCCTACTATAATGTGGGGTCCACAAGGGCAGAGATGTATCTCAAAGGTTGAACTGCACCTACACAGAGAAGGCACTTAGTAAATATTACATAGAAAACTAGAATCATAAGACTTAATATACTATTGCTATTATAAAATCCTATAACTCAGAGGAATTTCTAAAGGACAACCTGAGTGGGTTTAGGATACCTAAACTCTTATTTTTTAAATTAGAGATAGAAGCCCTCAGCTTATGGGGATTTGAATACATTTAGTCCACAAGGAGTACAATAATCTACATGTCTGGAACTGACGAAACAGGACATGCCTTTTATAGTTTTCATCATAGTATCTGTTTCCTGGATGAGCTGTTCCTCTGAACGCAGCAGGATTCCCTCTCTGCATCTTGCTTCTGTGTAGGAGTTTTTGCGCCTCTCTCCCCAGCCCTGTGTGTGCCTGACTCTTTCTCTGTTTGTCTATCTTACTGTTACTCTTACTCTATTACCACCTCTTTCTGCCATTCTTCTGCTGTCTTTTTCCACCTTTTCAATTTATCTCGTGATGAAAGCTAAGCACAATATGCATTTTTTTTTTTTTTTTTTGAGACAGAGTCTCACTGTGTTTCCCGGGCTAGAGTGAGTGCCGTGGCGTCAGCCTAGCTCACAGCAACCTCAAACTCCTGGACTCAAGCGATCCTCCTGCCTCAGCCTCCCAAGTAGCTGGGATTACAGGCATGCGCCACCATGCCTGGCTAATTTTTTCTATATATTTTTAATTGTCTGATTAATTTCTTTCTATTTTTAGTAGAGACGGGGTCTCGCTCTTGCTCAGGCTGGTTTCAAACTCCTGAGCTCAAACAATCAGCCCGCCTCGGCCTCCCAGAGTGCTAGGATTACAGGCGTGAGCCACCGCGCCCGGCCCACAACATGCATTTTAAATGTATGTCTCATTTTTTGCACTCTATCATTTGTAGATTAAAAACATTAAAATTCTGTTTTTAAGTAACACATAGGCCATGTAGAACATTTGTCTTTTGCTTTTCCCAAACCCCAGCTCTGCTCTTTTTAAGTGGCTTCTGATTGACTTCCCACTGTAGGCCAGAGGCCCTCTATCTAAAAAGGGCTCCCTACTCCCACTCTATTACATTAACCCAGACAGACAGCACCTGCCTCAAGAGTCCCTAAGGCTTTACTTGCCTCAATTTCAAATACACAGCCCTCTGTCCTGCCACCAAAGAGAAAAAACAAACCCTCCTAAGAGCTCATAAGTCAAGATCCCTAAAGCTGGATATTCTTTAGATGTGCAGCCACTCACCTAACCCAGTCAATATCCATGGGCTCTAGTTCACTCAGAATCCCACTGAAAAAATTACTTCCTTGAAATGCCCCACTTATGAAGGAAGAGCTAATAATTGATTGTGTCCTTTTTTACAAGTGAGCCAGTAGATACTTGGCTGGCAGAAAAACCTAGTATCCAAGGTAAAGCACTATCTGAAGTTGTTTTTCAATGTTCCAACATTCACTTACTGTCTTCTTCTGTTGAGTGGGTTCCTTCAGAAATGTAGATTTCCAACTGGAAAGAAAAAAATAGTACAACATTACGGCATCTAAGATGACATGCTATATTGGTGGAATGCACAGTGGACTCAAGAATCTAGGCATGAGGCTCCAAATTCTGTTCCTGGTATCCCTCACATTCTTCTCTAAAACAAGGACTAAAATTAGTAGGATTTTTAATTTTGGTCACCTAAGGAAGGCCTGTAGGGGGCATTTCTATTAATTTTATTATATGAATACACATAAATACAATTTTACATAAATGAGATCTCATACATGTTGTTTTACTCATGAATATGTCTCCTTTGTACTCTATTTCTTCCCAAATCAATATCTAAACTTCCTCCTGCCCTACCCCATAGGAAAGCTACATTAACAACCTAGTGTAGTTTCTTCCACATTTTTCTCTATATGCACATAATCTTACACAGACTCACACACACACAGCCAGGTTGGAAGTTTCTTTTCAATGCTTGTTTTCTAAAAATGGGATCACAATATACACAGTTTTCAACATCCTCTTTTTCTCATTCGTTATTACCTCACTATATTTATTCTCAAGTATAATATTGGTCAAATACACCCCCCTGGCCCTGCTGCACCCCTACAAATTAGCTAACCTCCCAGATCCAGAGCTTTTCAGACAACTCACAAAATTATTGCAAATCCCATGTCAAAAAAAGCACATTATATGACGAAGACATGTCTATGCTCCAGAAAACATTGAAGCATATGAACTAATTCTTATTGGTTTACTACTGAGATAAATGTTTCTCATGAGTGAAACAAAATCAGCTTATTATAGCTACAAGGGATCTTAGAGATCATCTAGTCCAATCACTTTTAAAACACAAAATACCATATAAGCTCCCCTACTGGCATAACACTCTTATTCTAGACCAATAGATATAGAATCACTCTATACTCATTTACTTTGGTTTAAAATTATGTCTGACTCTATTACTCTGAAAAATGATAAAAGGGAAGAGTCAAGCATTTATCCTGCTATTTCTATCTGAACTATACCTCAGGGTAACCAGGCAGTTGATGAGGGAACTATCACCAATAATGGGACAAACCGAAATTATAGGCCCCTTGATGTGACTCAATGAGAACACATTTATTTAGTATTCTCACCAAAAACACATAAACTGAATCTAATCAGAACACTTGATTTGAGGGACAATCTATAAAATATCTGGCCTACATTCTTCAAAAATATCAAGATGATGAAAGACAGAGGCTAAGGAACCACTTCAGATTAAATCAGACTAAAGAGACATAACAACTAATGCAATGTGTGTGGGGGGGACGGGGCAGAGACAGGAGGAGGGATTGCCATGAAGGATATTACTGGACAACAGGGGAAATTTGAATATGTGCTGTAGATTAGATGACAGTATTATATAAATGTTAAACTCCCTGGCTTTGAAAAATCATACTGCAGTAATGTAAGAGAATATCCTCGTTTTTAGGAAATATATCCTATAGTATTTAGGAGTAAAGGGGCATTATGCCTGCACTCAAATGGTTTAGAAAGTGTGTGTGTGTGTGTGTGTGTGTGTGTGTGTGTGTGGAGAGAAAGAGAGAGAGAGAGAAAATTAATGATAAAGCAAATGTGGCAAAATGTTAACAATTAGTGAATATGGGTGTCGATGTATGGAAGTTCTTTGTACTATTCTTCCACTTTTTCTGTAGATTTGAAATCATTTCAAAATAAAAAGACATTGTAATTAAAACAGTTAAAAATGCAAAATAAAATTTATGAGGTATATTATAAGCCACTAGTATTAGTACTCATTAATTTACTCAATTTAATACACATTTACTGAGTTCCTACTGTGTATAAGACCACAGCAGGAACATAGAGATGGATCATATATAAGTCCTGACTTCAAGAAGCTGATAGTGCAGGAGGGAAGATGAAAAATGAACTTAAATAGTTAGAATACAAATTAGAAAATGACATTCTCTATGTTAGAAGACAAAGAAAGTGCCAAGGAATTCAAAGAGAGAAATGGCTTTAGTTATGGCAAGCAGGACTGACATCACGGAACATAGCATTTCACTGGGCCCTAAAAGATAGGTAGAATTTGAATATATGAGATGGGAGGAAGGCAACTCCATGTAGATGGGGTACTCTGAGCAATGGCTAGGTAGCAAGGTGTAGAAAGCACACTTGCCCAGGAATTAGAAGAGACAGTAAGAGACAAGGCTGACCCATTCATGAGCTACAACCAATTACCATGAATTAACTGTGAAATCTGCAGCGTCCTTGTTTAACAGTTGGTCAAAAATATCTTCCTTAGATGTCACACCAAAAGCATAAGTAAAAAAAAAAAAAATACATAAATTGGACTTTATGACAATTAAAAACTTTTGTATTGCAAAGGGCACTGTCAAGAAAACAAAAAGACAACACACAATGGGAGAAAATATCTGCCAATCATAAATCTGATAATGCAGTGGTCCCCGACACTTTTGGTACCAGGACCGGGTTTCATGGAAGACAATCATGGAGGACAATTTTTCCATGGTGTGGGGTGGTTTCGGGATGATTCAAACTCATTACATTTATTGCGCAGTCGAACTTCTCTGCTATTGATAATCTGTATCTGCAGCCGCTCCCCAGCACTAGCATCACTGCCTCAGCTCCACCTCAGATCATAAGGCATTAGATTCTCATAAGGAGCGAGCAACCTAGATCCCGCATGCGCACAGTTTATAGTAAGGTTCGCACTCCTATGAGAATCTAATGCTGCCGCTGATCTGACATAGGCAGAGCTTATGCAGTGATGCGAGCAATGGGGGGCAGCTGTAAATACAGATGAAGCTTCACTTGCTGGCCTGCTGCTCACCTCCTGCTGTGCGGCCAGTTCTTAACAGGCCAAAGACCAGTACCACTCTGCGGCCCAGGGATTGGGGACTGCAGTGACAAGGGACTTGTATCTAGAATACATAAAGAACTCTTACAACTCAATAATGAAAAGAAAACCTAATTTAAAAATAGGCAAAAGATTTGAATAGACAGCTTTCCAAAGAAGATATACAAATGGCCGAAAAGCACATGAAAACATGCTCAACATTATTAGCCATCAGGGAAACGCAAATCAAAACCACAATAAGGTATTACTTCACACCCACTAGGATGGCTAAATCAAAAAGACAGATAATAGTAAGTGTTGAGGAGGATATGGAAAAATCAGAACCCTCATACACTGCTGGTGGGAACGTAAAATGGTGCAGCTACTGTGAAAAACAGCCCAGCAGTTACTTAAAATGTTAAACATAGAGTTGTCACATGACTCAGCAATTCTACTCATAGTTGGAAGAGAAATGAAAACATATGTCATGTCCACAAAAAAACTCGTACATAACAGTTCATAGCAGTATTACTCATAATAGACAAAATATGGAGCAACCCACATGTTCACCAACTGATGAACAGATAAATAAAACGTGGTATATCCAAACAATGAAATATTATAAGGCAATAAAAAGGAATGAAACACTGATACATGCTAAAACAACATTACGCTAAATCAAAGAAGCCAGACACAAAAGGCTCTCATATGTATGATTTCATTTAACTGAAATGTCCAGAATAGGCACATCTATAGAGACAGACTTAGAAGTAGATGAGTGGTTGCTTAGGGATGGGAGAGGGGTGGGGGAAATGGCCAGTGACTGTGAATGGGTACAGAGCTATCTTTTTGGGTTGATGAAAATGTTCTCAAATTGACTGTATTAATGCATGCATGACTCTGTGAATATATTAAAAACCCCTGAATTGCATGTTATATGAATTATATCTCAATAAAGCTGTTACAAAACAACAACAAAAACACATCTTCCTTACCTTATGTTTAAACGGTAAACACCGCTGAAGTTTTACTCTTAAGCACAGCCCTGTGGAGGGAAAAAAAACAACTCCAATTATCTCTTCATTGCTTAACTGGTTCTTTTTTTTTTTATTTCAAATTATTAAGGGGGTACAGATGTTTTCATTACATCGATACCTTTTATAATGCTTAAGTTCAGGATTTTAGTGTGCCCATCACCAAAATAATGTTCATTGTACCTGACAGGTAGGTTTTTATCACTCCCCTCCCTTAATTGGTTCTTAAAAGCATACGGCTATGTCTAAGTGTCCCCATACAATATGGGAGCTGAAAACAGCTTTGGCTCAATCCAGGGTAGGCTTCCTCTGAGCCTGGCACCATGCTAGGAAATTTAATATATAATATTACATATTCCTCATGATAATCCAGTGATCTAGGTATTACTAACCCCCTTCTACAAATTATGAAACCAAGGTCCCAGAGCTAGTAAAGTGGCAGAGTTGAGATTGGAGCCCAAGACCCCTGCAAGCCCAGGCCTTTTCTACTACATCAGTTGGCCTTCAAGCAAAGGTCAATTAATTCATTAAACTTTATTTGAGGTGGGAGGGGGGAGGAGGGGATAGGTTTATACACACCTAATGGGTGCAGTGTGCACTGTCTGGGGGATGAACACACTTGAAGCTCTGACTTGGGTGAGGCAAAGGCAATATATGTAACCTAAACATTTGTACCCCTGTAATATGCTGAAATTTTAAAAAATAAATAAATAATAAAAATAAATGAAATAAACAAAAGTATTACAAACATTAGAAAAAAATTTTTAAAAAATAACCTTTCTTTGATGCCCACAACAGGCCAGGACACACAAAAATTTAAAACCAAGTAAGAGCCATTTAAAAAGGGCCACATGAAACGTCTCACATTTGAAATCCTTTATGCCTGCAAGGTACAAATAGAGTTACTTCTCCAAAACAAACTCTGCTGAAGTTCAGTATATCATCTCACGCTAAGTCACAGTTCAATAATTTCTTTTTCAAGTTGAGTTTGTAGCAGAAATTACAACTAGACTTGGAACAGATCCTTGCTGCCAACGTTCTACTTCTCCTCACTTCAAATTAAGGAAGGAATTTTTAACAAAATCCATACTCCTAGACAACAGAAAATAAATCAAACTGCTCTTATTATGAAGAGAGAGTGTTTCAGTAATAAGTCTTGAAAAAATAAAGAGTCGCAATGGTTCTCTAGTCCACTGGTCTTGAAGGCTTTTATTTGCAGCAATTTATTTCTTCTCCCAACTAATGCATAAGGGCTTGTCATGCTACAAGGAACATTTTCTTAGTATTTTGATTTGATTAAAAATAAATATCAAGGCTGGATGTGGTAGCTCACACGTGTAATCCCAGCACTTTGGGAGGCTGAGGCTGGAGGATCGGGAGGATCACTTGAGGCCAGGAGTCTGAGACCAGCCTGGGCAACATCGTGAGACCCTGGCTCTACAAAACAATTTTAAAAATAGCCAGGTGTGGTGGCCTGTATTCCCAGCTACTCAGCAGGCTGAAGCAGGAGGATTGCTTGAGCCCAGGAGTTCCAGGCTGCAGTGAGCTATGATCATGCCATTGCACTCCAGACTAGGTGACACAGCAAAACCCCATCTCTTCAAACAAATTAACAATAAAATAAATAAAGAAATAAACATCAACAACAAAGCCTCAAACCATCCAAGACAGCAAAACACAATTGTTAGACTACCTATCTTTTAGAGAGACATGAAATTGATTTGCTTTTGGTTTTCTAAGTCCCATTAGGTTTTTCCAATCTTTTGAAAAATCCCAGAATAGGGCAAATAATTAGATGAGATATAATGAGACAGTGGCTAGCTTACACTTTTGAATGCAGTACTGCTGTAATAAATATTAGAGGACTCTAAATATATCATTTCCTTAAGAGGGTCTCCCTAGGCTGGTCCGAAGGTAGTGAGTTATCTCACTTAATTGTTCACAGTCAGTTACAGATTGAACTCCTTGTTCTACTACTTAAACCCCCTCCTCACTACTGCATTTGACTAGTCTTAAAAAAAAAAAAAAAAGAGGGTCTCCCTCTAGAGGAACTGCCTTAAAGCAAATAAATATAGGGGAGTTCCTGTTCTCCCTGCCCCAACGTTGTTTCCTTAATTCATTATTTGTGTACCATTTGGTATCTTCTTGTGTTCTAGTCACAGTTGGTGTTTTATCCATGAAGTAAATAACTGTTTTATAATTCACAAAGCACTTTCTTGATATAGCATAATTGGGATAGATATTTTAGGTTCAAAAGTAGCTCCACTACACACTAGCTGTAACCCTGAACACATTACTTAACCTCTCTGAGCTTCAGTTTCCTTATCTGTAAAACAAGTATTATAATAGTATCACAACATATATGGTTGCTATGAAAAATAAGTTGTTATGCAATGTGCTTAAAACAGTACCTGGCACATGAGCATACAGTAAATTTTAGCTATTACTATTTTTACATTATTTTATCATTTTCACTTTACAGCCAGGAAACCAAGGTAAGTGATTTGTTACATAACTAACAAGTGGCAGTGGTACAAGCTGAACCTACACCTTCTGACCTCCAAATCCTCTGCCCTCCCCGTTGAATCACAGCTGCCTTTAGTTATTCTTGTCTGGACTAAGTCAACACAAATGATTATCAACTGGTTTTCCTGCCTCACCCCTGTCCCCTTTCAGTCTTCCTTATCTTTGGAATTACTTACCAAGGTAACTTTGAGCAGGTGACAATCTAAGCAATCAGGGTGGAACTCTTACTCAGGTGCCATACTAGTATTACCTGCTCATGAGGAATGTCCCTAAACACATCGGCCAGAAAAATTGCTCTCTTCATTGAGTTTTCCAATTGTGTTGATTGAACATTGTTACTATGATACACTATTATAACTACACTCTAAAAAGCTAAGGGTCTTAACTGAAACCCACATTAAAAGGGCCAATAATAGACTAAATTTTGTTCAGAAAGTATAACAGATCTAAAATATCAACTATAACCTAATCTTAGCACTCTTACATAAGAGGTTTTTTTTTTTTTTTTTTTTTTTTGAGACAGAGTCTTGCTCTGTTGCCCAGGCTATAGTGTGGTGGTGCAATCATAGCTCACTGCAGCCTCAAACTCCTAGGCTCAAGAGATTTTCCAGCCTCAGCCTCTGGAGGAGCTGGGACTATATAGGTGTGCTCCACCACACCTGACTAATTTTTTTTTTTTTTTGGTAGAGACAGTGTCTTCCTATGTTGCCCAGGCTCATCTTGAACTCCTGGGCTCAAGCAATCCTCCTGCCTCAGCCTCCCAAAGCACTGGGATTATAGGTGTGGGCCATGGTGCCTGGCCAAGGGTTATTTTTATTTCTTGCACTCTCTCAATCTTTGTCCACATAAACACATTTTTCTATAACTGCAATCACGATGCAAATTAAACACATTCAAGCTTTTTCATGTATTTCTCACACAGATACTTTTTTTTTTTGAGACAGTCTCGCTCTGTTGCCCTAGCTAGAGTGCAGTGGCATCATCATAGCTCACTACAAGCTCAAACTCCTGGGCTCAAGTGATCCTCCTGCCTCAGTCTCCCGGGTAGCTGGGACTACAGGCACGTACCACCGTGCTCAGCTAATTTTTTCTATTTTTAATTGTTTGGCTAATTTCTTTCTATTTATAGTAGAGACAGGGTCTCGCTCTTGCTCAGGCTGATCTCCAACTCCTGAGCTCAAGCAATCCTCCCCGCCTTGGCCTCCCAGAGTGCCAGGATTATAGGTGTGAGTCATCGTACCCGGCCTCACACACATACTTTGATTTCTTGGTTATATTTATCATTTTACAACAGTAATATGAAGTTCCATTATATTGGCGCTATTTCCTATTAATAGATACTATAGTTTCTTCCATGTTTTACTATTATAAATTTGCTATAAACATTTTGTACATGTTAATATTTTCTTCTATGGAATTATTTTCTTAACTCCTGGATCGAAGAGTATAAACTTTTTAATAAAGATTTGCCAGTATATACTAAGAGGCTTGAAAATATTTGTACCACCAGACCCAAGAATTCCATTTATAGGAATGAGGCAATAATGACATATATAAAAATATTTATATATAAAGTCATCATTACAATATTATTTATAATTACAAAGGCTAGAAGTAATTTAAATGGTTACAAAAATTATGATATATCAATGATTAGCATGTAACCTATATAACTATATAATTAAAGAATATTTAATGAGAAATTTAAAAATCCTTCATATCTTTCATGCTTTCTATTTCCTAACCCTTATAACTCTGTATCTGTAGATACTCTTATTATTCCTGTTATACAGATAAGGAAATTGAGGCACAGAAAAGTAACTCACCCAAGCCTACAATATGGCAGAGCTGACAGAACTGGAATTTTAGCCCAGAGCATAGATTCTTTTATGACAGCTGATTTTTATTTTTTTCTTTATGTTTTTGCGGAGTTTCAAAATTATTGCCGATAAACGTGTTACTTTTACAACTAAATAGAGAGGCCCATGTAAGAATTCTTTCTTATATGTGAAAATATTTTTAGCCACCTCCTCCACATCAGCATAGTGGTAGTACTTTCAATGTCTGTTGATTCAGAAATTGTCCAATGACAAAAAATAACTATGTATTCAATAGTTTTTCTAGAAATGGAATTTTAACAAGCACAACTAAACCTATGGATTCACAGACCTTCCAGTCCTTCAAGATGCAGCCCATAGGCTAGAAACCACTAATAGAGGAAACCCAGGTCAACCAGTGAGAAGAGAAAAGACAGAAATCACAGTACTGGGAGCAATAATGAAATATTGACCTTTTCAATTCTTTTTTTTTTTCTTTTCAATTCTTTTTATAAACTTGTTTGCTTTTCGACAGATTGTATGTTCCCATGGTTTGAAAAGTCTCCCTCCTACCCTATCGCCATCTGCCCAGTTCCTACCACCACTATTACCTGCTAATAGCCATCACAGATATTCAGAATAATTTAGAATTTATATACATGTGTATATATATATATATATATATATATATAAAAACTTACCAATAAGAGTCGCCAAAGAGCAATGAGGTACTGTTGGCGTAAACTTGATAATAACCAGATAGTCTTCTTCATTTATCTCCTGAACCTCCACACAACTTTCCGTTACCACTTCCAGTTCTTCTAGGGTATTGGGCTTTTCTGGGTCACGGATAGTTCGAATCAAATCTAAAGAATCATCAGAGACAAGATGTTCTATTAAAACATGAATATTTTAAATAAAGATGATTTTGCCAGTCCTAATCTAATCACTGACTTTTAAATTTAAGCAAACACTACGGTAACTCCCAGGTCTCTGACAGAAATTTTCACTACTGGTTTCCTTTTGAGAAAACTGTTTTCTTGGATTATTATTCAAACATATCCATCAATGGACCAAATCCAACACTGCAGAGAGAATATAATAAGAATGGAAAGAGTGTCATGGAAGCTCAAGAAGAAGAAATACTTTTAGCTTGGGAGAATGTGGCATTGGGCTTTATGGAAATATTAATAGAATCTGAATGAAGACTTTAAAAAAGGGTAACATTTCAGTATTTGACATTTAAAGTGAAGGAAAGTAAAGAATAAGAGCTTAGTTTGCCTGGAACCAAGCATAAGCGAAGAAAAGTAGTAGAATATAAGGTGGAGTCCTGAAGACTTTAAACAAGGGAGTACCAGGAACAGCATTGTGCTGTCAGCTGGTAACTCATCCATCCACCAGCTGCTGGCAGACTAAAAAGCAGAGCCGACGATACCAGCTGAAAAAGCTGGACCTAGAACAGTGTCTGGGAGAGCAGTGACAGAATGAAAAGACACAGAACAAGGAAGAAATTTGGGTGGGGCCTGGGGCAAATGACCTCAATTTCATACATAATGATTTTGAGGTGCTTTAGGAGCAATCTGATGAAACTTTCTAGCAAGTGTTGAACTGTGGCATAGGGTTTAAGAGAGCACCAAAGCTAGAGTGGTAGTTAAACCCATGTGATTCACAAAGAATGAGTATAAATTTTGGCTGAATTACCATGAATGCTTTAAAATGAAAAACTTATGCCTGGGGCCTACCCCAAAAGATTCTGATTTAATTGGATTAGAGTATGCCTGGCCATTGAGAGTTTTCAAAATTCCTCAAGTTGTTCTTAAGTGTAACCCAGTTTGAGAATCCCTAGTGCAAAAGGAAAGAGACCCAAGGATAGATCCATGGAAAGCACCTAATTCAGGGATCAGAATGAGAAGGAAAAGCGAAAAGAATTAGAGAAGAAAAGAGAGGGATGGTTAACAAAATTAAATACTGAAGAAAAATTCAGGTTGATGAGAGCTAAAACAGATCTCTAATTTGTCACCCAGGAGGTCAGCAGTAAGAAAGCAGTTTCGGCAGAGACGGTGAGGGCTGAAGCTAGCTTGCAAAAGGGGAAGTGAGTGGGACCTGAAAGTGTCTTCCTGAGGCCTTGGCTGGGAAGGGAAAGGGCAAGGACAAGGAAAGGACAGAGCTTTATAAGGGAGCTACAACAATGACCAGGGAAACTTGAGTATGTTTTATAGCCCAAGGAAAAGAGAGATTGAAAATATAAAGTGGGGAGGAGGAGAAACTGGTAAAATAAGGGAATGGGATCAAGGATGTGGGAGCCTAGGTTAGCCCCGGAGAGGACAAGATTTCCTAATTATTCTGAGGCTGGAGAAAAAGATGAAAAGAAGAACGAAAAAGAAAAACGGTGAGATAGAAAGAAGTAGAATTTAATGTAGCATGGGCTTGATGTTCTCAAGCCTGAGGTTTTGTTCTATTATTTATAGCACCCCTGTAATCGGAAATGCAGCTGAGAAGATTAAAACAAACTCTATTTTCTCCCTAGCTATCTCCTGGGCTTGTCACTTGATTAGAAACAGAATTTGAAAATATAGGGAGGAAACAGGATAAAGCTTCTCTTTCACAGAGCTGTGTTATCACAGGACTTAGGGAAATGGGGTTTTGGAATTTCCTTTTCAAAGGTGCCTTATTCTAGGCCTTTTCCCTGCAAGTTATACAAACTGTTTTATATTCTTTATATATCTCTGAGCTCTAAAATTAAATCTCACCCCTTATTAAACTTATCTAGTTTTCCAGTTTCTAGATTTGAAAGATTTGGATTTATTTCTTTAAAAAGAAAGCAATGTTGCTCTTCTCACATTACTCCCCTCACTAAAATTCTTCATTTACATTTAAAACCATCAGTATCCAATTTCATCCTACTACCTAAAACAAGGTTCAACCACACCTCCACCTTTAACCACAAACTCTGTCCTGTAGCCCCATCTATCTGCCATTTCCTATGTCATTTTCTCACCTCCATACTTTTGTTCTAGTTTCCTTAGTATGCCCTTTGACCCTGTACATATCCAGATCCTAATTATTCTTTGAGGCCCAAGTCAAGTGATTCCGTCTCTTTAAAATCTTCTGGATCCCCCCAGTCAGAGACTAGTACCTCTCCTTTCTCTGAATTTTTGTTATCTATTATTCAGAATCATCTCTCTTCCAGAGTTGTATCCCCAGTGCCCTAACAGCCCTAGATGCTGTAGACAGAGGTCTGCCAGGACAGGAATGTGTTTATCTGCTTTGTGGAGATCATCACACTGGTAATTATCATCTGGCTGGGGCTGACTAGGTAAGTCTTGCCTCTAGCAAGAAAGTTAAACTAGATCAGCTCCCAAGGTATTTCCCATCTCTAACTTCCTTCCACTGGTCTATAATCCTTACCTGAATTATATTTGTATTGTACGGTTAAATGTCTCAACATTATATCCAGTCTTTTTAGTTTTCAGAAACAATACGACTTACCAAAAAAAGAGAGAGTCATAAGACAATTGTGAAGTGGTGGAAAGCGCACTATGTTTGGAATCAGAAGACAAAGGCTTTGGTTTTTGCTCTGTTTCTTAATGGCAGTGTGACCTCCAGGTCGTTGGTAGTTGTTTAACCCTTCTAAGCCTGTTTTATCATCTGTACAATGAAGATGGTCCCAAAGATTAAATAGAGAATATTTTAATATAGTACAGTGAGAAGCATATATATATGTGCGTGTCTGTGTGTGTGTGTATATATACATATATATATTTCTTTTTTTTTGCACTTGAGGCCTTGCTACAAGAAGTCCTCTTCTTTAAGGGACCTCTGCCTATTGACTTTGCTCCAGAAGAAAGTGGCTTTGACCTTGGGCCAGTCCCCAACTCCGCCATCACCCAGAAGCGCACGCAGGAGCTAGAGAAGAAAGGAGGCTCGAGTAGTGCAATCAAGCCAGCTTTGCTTCCTAACCAAGCACCCTCTCCTAAGTCTTGGGATGCCACTAGGACATAGGGCAGACAAGAGGAATGAAACGTTTGAGGCCTCCAGGCCTAGCTTGCCCCGGGTTTATGAAGAGCCCAGGTCCTAGAAGGACCCACACTCCCCCGCGTGACTTAGGACCCTAAAGAAAACGCTTCCCACGCTCCGGACGAGATCCGGTAAATATCCGGGTCTCCACTCCCAGCCCTCACGTGAGGCTCTCATACCCTCCCCGCCCTCCGCTCACAACGCCAAATGCTGCATTGGGTAAAATTAATTACCATAAATCTCTAGCGCTTTCTCTTCCATGATCCCGGGCTGCCGGGCAGCTCCCCGCTCAGAGAAGCCCGAGAGCCAGAGGACACTGCTCAGCGTCCAGGAGAGCAGCCCAGACACCCGCTCCATCCTCATGCTCCGCCATCCCTGGCGACTGTCCCACCCGCGCCACCGTCTCTCAGCAGCCGGTCTCAGTAGTTATCAACTTCCTGGTGTTCAAATGGCCCAACACAAGCCTAAAGATTCAGGGAAGCAGAGAACAGGCGCGACAGGACAGAGTAGCGCGGAGCACGTAGGGAAAAAACCCGCGAGAACTACAAACCCCAGCATGCTTTGCTCGGTTTCGGCGGGACAATAACAACAATCCACGCGGCCCGTGAGGCGCATTGCGTGCTGGGATGTTTTCTGTGGACGATGGCAAACTGTATTCTGGGACTTGTAGTCTCCACCGGGGAGGAGTGGATGTAACGGTCTGTTCACCGCCACTTATTGTCTCACTCAGCGCCCATGATGAAATAAAGATGAATCCCAAAGAGGTAGGGGAGAGGAGATCTTGGTTTCTAGTGCTGGAGGAGGTTTCTAGCACGGAGATTCTTTACAGTTATTTCTCTGAGGGAGCTGCTTCCAGCACAAAATCTTTATTATTTCCTGATCGGGCCGGAAGTGGGTTTCTGTTGTGGTGAAAAGGCTTGTATGGGGAAGCCAGTAAGGCAGTTAGGCATGGCGGGGGGAGGACTTTCTGGTTTTCTCTCATCTCCTGGGGACTCAGTCCAGCAAAACAACCCACTACGGGGTGAATATTTATGCCAATGGCCTTTAAAGTCAACTTAGAACAAGAGAACCTTCCCTGTGTCCCATATGTCCAATGGAAACATAATGGAGATCACCATCCTGAAAAGAGTATCTTAAGTAAGCCCTCTGGTGTTCGTGGCTATGATGGATGCCAGTAACAAGGTTGATTATGTTATTTTATCCATCCATTCCTCCAATCAAATCTTAAACATTATTTGGATACTTAATTTGCCGTACACTATCTGTAGGCGCAGAGGATACAAAGATAGGACATGGTCCCTGACTTGAAACATCTCACATACCTGTGAGGAAGCTAATCCCTGATGTTGAGGGATTTGTAGCTAGTACTAAACTAAACCTTTTGTCAAAGTTGATGACAAGTTTCATCTCTATTGAAAAGAAAGGCAGGATTATCTTTCAAGATTATTCCCTGATAACATACCCATTTATCTATCTTTAAACTCCAGTCTTGTTTGTCTAGTTGATTTAGGCTTTCGACTCACCAATCAATGAATAGTTTAGGTCCCAGGAAAATTTTGTTCAGAGTTTAATAATTTCCTTGCCATCTATTCCACTGACTTACTCCACAGCAATTGAGAGGATAATTTTAACTTCTTTACAGCCAAATTTAGGACACTGAGGTCTCACCTCCCCTGTGAGGCCTCCGGACTTCACAAAGCAGAATGATGATCTCTTTCACTGTGCTCCATAGCACTGAACGTGACGAATTATTTTTTTGTTTGTTTGTTTTTGAGACAGGGTCTCACTCTGTTGCCCAGTCTAGAGTGCTGTCCATCATCATAGCTTATTGCAACTTCAAACTCCTGGGCTCAAGCAATCCTGCCTCAGCCTCCCGAGTAGCTGGGACTACAGGCGGTCGCCAACACGTCTGGCTGACTTTTGTATTTTTTTGTAGAGACAGGGTCTCGCTATGTTGCTCAGGCTGGTCTTGAACTCCTGACCTAAAGTTATGCTCCTCACTCGGCCTCCCAAGTGTTAGGATTACAGGCGTAAGCCAACACACCCAGCCTGAACATGATGAATTGTTGATTTACTTGCCTGTCTCCCTCATTAAATTGTAAGCACCTAGTGGGCCAGGAGCTTCTTTATTTCTGTATCTCAAACTCATAACAAGGTGCCAGGCACACAGTAGATGCTTGATAAATACTTCTTGAATGAATTAACTGAATGTTGTCCAAGGAATAAGTGGTGAAGCTTTCTTGCAGTCTGTTCAGAGACCTCAATCAAAAATATTTATTGAATCTCTGAAGGCACTGTGCTTTGAATGGGTGGGTCGCATGTAGAGGTTTTCAAACATTTTTAGTCATAGCCTCCTTTATTCAAACGAAATCTTTTTAGAAGCTTGTTAGATAAAGCTATCCAGAACACAAAGGGCCCTAGGAACCTGCGCAGCCCCTAGCTCCTTTTCTGCTCCTTCAGCCCCCATGGTTAACATCTCCACGTTGCGGTTCCTGGCTGCGAATTTACTGAGCAGCACCCGCAGCTCGCTGCCGCCCCGCCCCCGGCGCCTAGGCCCCGCCCCTGCGTCTCCGCCCCACGGGTCCCGCAGGGTCTGTTGCGGCCCTCCCACCCCGAGCACCATTGGAACGCTTTGCTCGCGGCACTATCTCTCTATAAAGTTGTTGTTGCGGCTTCCGCCCCGGGTGGAGGAAGATGGCGTCGGGTGGTGGTGGCTGTAGCGCTTCGGAGAGACTCCCTCCGCCCTTCCCTGGCCTGGAGCCGGAGTCCGAGGGGGCGGCCGGGGGGTCAGAACTCGAGGCTGGCGACAGCGACACCGAGGGGGAGGACATTTTCACCGGCGCCGCCGCAACCGTGAGTTCGCACCCTTTGGGGCAGCTGTCGAGAGGGCGCCCCAAAAGGGAAGAGAGGCTAAGCGAGGGTCGGGGAGGCTGGGCAGAGTGGGCCGGGTGAGATCTTGTCTCGGTGTCGGCAGTCCGGGCTTGGAGTCTCTGAGTGAGCATGGAGCCGTAGGGCCTGGCTTACCGGCACCCGGGCGGCACGAGTGATGAGTGAGGGGTGTGGTGGCTTCGCCTGTGAGGTCCCTAACAGCCAAGAGCTGCCGAGCCCGTCCTTTGGCCCTGCTGTGTATTGACCCCACAAATCTACAGGGTTGTTTTGCTGGTCGTGTCCTGCCCGGGCTGATTTAATAGGTCAAAAATAAGGGAATGGGGTGCAGACCTTCCTTTCCTCCGTCTTGCTGCTTCTAGGATGAATAATGTTGTCGGGAGTAGACCAGAGTAAGTGAACCGTCCACAAGTCCTTTCGTTAGCTCAGCATTTACCGGTGATTACCAAAAGCCCTTTCTGGATCTTAGTTTACAAAAGTTAGGTTGACTCCTCTGATCGCTAGGAAAATCGGGCCAGAGGCCGGTTAAGTCGCTGCCAGAGAAATCACTACATAGCTCAGAAAGCTTTGTCCCTTTTAAAGGGGTGCGTTGAAGTGCCCAACTACTTCATTGGGAGCAAATCTGTAAATGTGAGGAGGAAATGGTGTTTCCCATAGTAAATATCTGGATTTCTAATAAGAGTTATGTATTGGAAAAAACTAATCTTTATATGTGAAGTGTGGAAATCAGTAATCAGTTATGGAACCAGTAGAGATGTTGTGGGCTGTTTTAGAGAATATTTACTCATATCACTTGGTACAGTTCGTTCTGGGCTGTAAAATTCTTCAGTGCTGAGTCTGTGAGTTTACCTTTCTATCTTGGATAATGCTTCTCTTCATAGCAGCTACTCAGTACACACTGACTAAGTAAAACAGCTTTACATTATTTATGTAGCATGTGTCTGAAAAAGTTTGAGGCTTGCTTAATTTGTGTCAGAAAATTTTCCCTGTATTCGGGAATTGAGTCCATAATCCCATCTCATAAAGTGCTTGGTTATGCTAATATAACAGCTCAAACTGTCTAATGTCTGTTATTCTGAGAAATAATTCTTGCTGCTAATTTAGTCTTTCTGTAGCTCTTTTAAAGTATTTCTTTAGTAATTCTCTGACAAGTCATGGAGAACAGCTACTGATGGTAACTGCTGGGATGATAAATATTCTGGGTATCAGACTGGGTATCTGAAATAGAAACTCTGGCACTGAAAGTGATCGGTTACATAGGCAAGTGTTGATTTATTTTCCAAAAAGGGACGTGGATGGATGAGGAGTTATTTTCTAGAGTTCTCAAGAGTTCAGGAGGCTGCAGTTCGATCTCACCAGATTAAAAATCCTTTGCCTAACTTCCAGCTGAAAAGCAGGCGGGGGGCATTCAGAATGACCTTGTTCTGCCACAGAAAGTGTAATTATTTTTATTTAGATTTGATCTAGGAAAATTGAGTTGCTAAGGAAAACTGAAATGCCACCTGTAAGCCATTTTTTGAGCTGGCTGCTCTGTTGTTAATCTTCAGGAAGGCAAGACCCCAAGATTGTTCACTAAACTGTGACTGTCTTGTTAAACAGCAATTAAATGCAAATTATAATCCAATAAATGCTTTAGGTGTGAGGCAGAGAAGATAGGGGATTGCAGCACTTCTGTATGTTAAAGAACAAGATTGAAGAATAAAGTAATTAAGAATGTGGTCTTTGGGGGAGGGAGGGCAAGGGCAACATATGTAACCTAAACATCTGTACCCTCATAATATGTTGAAAGAAAAAAAAAAAAAAGAATGTGGTTTTTGAAGTCTGATTTAAATCCGGGCTCTACTGCTTGCTAGCTTAGCTTGGACAAGGTACTTAATTACTCTCTACAGTTTCTTTACCTGTAATATGTGAATAATAATAGTATTTACCTCTACCACTATTGTGAAAATTAAATTAAAATACCTGTAAAGCATTTAGAACAGTTCTTTCCACTTAATAAACATTTAAAGAATGCTTACTTTTTTGAGGGATTGAGCTGTATTTGTTGGTGAGCATTTTGTAAACTAGAATTACTTTAAGAATTAAAAAACCCACAAAATCTAATAATGGGTTGGAAAAGTTAACCCAAAAATGGGTAATATAGTTTACTAAAATAAAAACTAACTAGTAATAAGATTGGTTTGATTAGCTAAAAGCCATCAAAATTGGCACTTACTGACTTTAATAGCATCTTACTGATTTAAGTTAATCGTCATGTTGTTTTTGTTACATCTTGGAGACAAAGAGAGGGGCATTGAAGAATTGGGAAGCTGAGGCATGTAAAATTTAAAATTAATTTATGGTATGCGTGTAATTTCCTGTACATTGATATAACAGCTGCTGTTGTTAATCATCCCATCTGCTCTCTTTTACAGCCCAAGAAGCTTTGTTAATGCAGTAATAACAATGTGATTTGATTTATAATTGAAAGAGCAGCCTATGATATGCATTTCAGAATCTGTAAACCGGAACTTGAATGGGAGAGACTGAAGTTAAAAGAATTATTAAAATAAACCTGAAGTCATTGCTTTAAGACTGACAACCAGCTTGTGTAGGTTCTGATTCTTAAAACTACTAAGACCTTACCTTCTTTCTGCCTCTTACTTTGTGGGCTTATAAATAAAAAGGTCTAAAACTCTAAATATATTATCTGCATCTTTGACATAGAATTAAATCCAGATGTGTATCTTT